CATCTTCAAATAGTTACTGCCATTAAAAAACACTTAGAAATCTTTCCTGGGCCTTTCCCACCCAAAGAAAAATCCATATTTCCAGTATCCCCTACAGATAACCAGCTATCCAAGTTCTCCCTATCTTTAACTTTTTTTAAARAAGCAMCTTTCCTRTTTGATACAGCTGGTTCTTCCACCTGCCTTTTTTTATGCTTTGCCAATTATTTTTCCACTCTTGACTCCACAATTTATCCAAACTGACATAAGTGTCTTTTTCTGTAAAAGTTTATTTGTGTACAAAACAAATAGTTCTTGACTTTGGCATTTGTTATAAAAAGTCCACAATACATCATGAAACCACGGCATGTAAAAAAATAAGAGCTACAGTTTGCTTCACATGGGTTCACTGCCTTTTTTCAGTCTCACAAAAATTCAGAGCACCTGAAGCTTGCTGAAAATACCAAAGAAAAACAATATTTAGCTGGTTTATTTTAAAAATAGTTCACAATGCTATTCTATTAATCTGTGAAAGACTTGATAATGTTTGCAACTATTTAAAGACCTAAAGCATTTCATGTTATTTTTATATTTAAATAAAGGTTATATGGGCTGATCCATTATTAATTCCCTGGAAAACTTCTCCACAAGGACAAATTTATGCTTTTGCTGATGGGTTATACCATCATTATTTTAAACAGGCAAATTTTCATTCACTGTAAGCCCTTTGATACATTTTAATACTTTTTGGTGTTGCAGCTGGCCTTTCTCCAGTCAGTAGAATGAACAGTTGGACTGAACAAGTGCAGATTTAAAAATACATGGAATCAAAGTATGAAAATGGCTTCTGCTCTTGATTGTCACAAAATGAACCCAAAATTGTTCCTAAATTTAATTAATGTATGTAACAACCACCATCTCCAGAAGCAAATCTGCTTCCCAATTAGGTCTCAAAATCATACAGTGCAGTCATCTTTCCTTTTACTTTTGGATTGTGTTTCTAATCACTGATACTTGTAATTTTTAAATTTMTTACTTTAATTCTCAGCATTTGAGTTTTTTAAATATGAAGCATAATTTAAACTGCTGGAACATTTACTGTGTTTATAATTAATTACCAATTTTCTATGATTTTATCCTGATAATATGAAAATCAACACACAAGAAGAATTTATTTACCTGTCTTCAACTGTCTTGTTGGAGGGGTAGAACACCTTGAAGGAAAATCCACTTCTGGGAAACGAACCCTGTAGGGGAAAACAAATGTGAGCAAAATTCAGTGCAGGGAATGAGAGGCAGCCAGATGGGGAAAATTTGAAATTTTAAAATTTGAAATTTTACCGGGTTGATGCAGAGGCAGTCAGTGTTGGTGACAGTGAAGGGATCATATTTGTCAGCAATGATGAGCAGGTCTGGCACAGGATAAACCCTCAGGGAATAATCAAAAGCCCAGAACACGGGGCTGACGTACAGTGGCAAAGGGGTCAGGTGCCCCTGGGATAAAATGGTCTTCACAAACTGCAAAAAAAAATCCCAAAACACTTGGTTTGAGCCATTTTCTCTGTGTGTTAATAAAGAAGTTTTGAAACTGGAAATCTTCTGAGATTTTTCTATCTTACTCCTGATTAATAATCATTTCTAGAGTAAAGTAGCATTTTTCCTCCAGCACTGAGGTGCTCTTTCCCATCTTGCATTGTGGGGGTTTTTAATACAAAAAGGTCTTTCTGAAGCCTATCAGCCAGTATTTGAAGATATCAAAACTATCTCACCAATCAGAATCTCCAGGAGAATCTACTTAACCTGTTCTTCTTTCCTAATATTGCCATAAATTGCCATAACTTTCATTTTTTATGTTTTTTTCCTGATTGCTTTCCTCACAATACCAGTTAGCCACTTAAAAAGTTTTTTCCTGAACTGAAGAAATCATTTGATTCTCAGATCAATCTCCTTTCTTAGTAACAAAATTTCCCTCTTTTTTGACACTGATAGTTGAATTAAAAATAGGCAAAAAAGGCAGAGAAAAAGTGGAGCATGCAAAAAATATTTCCTTCACGATTCCTTCCTGGAAAGCCCTGCAGGAATCCAGGGAAATGTCAGGAATGCAAATATCCCCACAAAACCAAGGTCCCTCACTGTCCACAGCATGTTCACAGATACACAGAGCTAACCCAACTTTCTGAGTCAGGCAAACAAAAAAAAAATCCTACAAAATAAATAAAAGCAGATTCCATCGATCACTGCAATGAGCCAGGACTACCTGGATCGTTCTCATCCAATTATTTCAGTAAATCCCATCAGCTCCTGCTGGGGATTCATTAAGTGGAACCATAACCCAGGCAGGATTTCAATTTCCAGTGAGAAGACAAAACAAGCAGATGAATTCTAGGAAAAGTGACATGCTGCTTTACTACAAACAGCACTGGGTAACTGATTAAATCTTTAAAAAAATAGTAATTTGTATTAAATTTTGCATTTAGAAAGTAGTGTTTCTTGGCAGGACATTCATGGTTGGTGCACATAAAGTTGGCTGCTCTGAAGTTCTGTGTTCAGGGGCAGCTGCAGTGTGACAGAATAACTCAATGCCACCTAAAAGTATCATGGGTTGAGTTATTTTGCTGTCAAAATATAAAGAAAATTAAGAACAYTAAATGTATAAATCCTTCTTACAAGCCCTCTGGATTACTCGTGCCATGTGTGGTGAGAATGGGGATCAGAGCCCCCAAAATCCAAACCTGCTGATCAATAAAATCAAAAATCTGGGCAAAAAGTGGTTTTTTTTTGCCAACACAAGTCACTCACGTGGTTGGGAATGTCCATGTTGCTGCTTGGGAAGCGGACACAGTTCCTGCACATTTTGTTGACCAAATCTTCTCGAAAAATAATAATTTCTTGAGTGCAGTATTGAACCCTGAGTGGAAAACAGCAGTGAAATTAATTAAGGTTAACCTAAAAACTAGATGGATGCATTATAAAGTTCATCTCCCATCTAATACAAGTGAAAAAGCACATTTGAATGAAAAATATACTTTTCCTTCTAATTCAGAAAAAAACATGATGCTTTTGAGCAGGATTTTTAGACTCAATATCAATTTTTTAGCACTACTTCCTTTCATCACTAGTAATATGTCTTAATATATTGAATAGTTACAATTCATGCAAGTGAAGAATTCTATTAATTTGAAAAATTTAAGGCAAATTTTCCCCAAAATCTGTAGGTTTTGAAAATATTTGCTCATAAATTTGTCATTTAGTAAAAAAAACCCCAAAAACAAACCCCTCAAAAAAACCCACCTAATAATAATAATAATAGTAACAGTGAGCAGTTACATGGTTACCTGCAGGGATTTGTGGTGAAAACTGAAAATGGCACCAGCTGTCTGAATTCCTGAGTGATATTTTCAGCCAGAGGGGGTCTGAAATAAAATACCAGCAGATGTATCAACAAAGATTCTTCTTTAACTCAAATTTAACTCAAAATTCCAAGATTTGAGGAAGTGAAGCAAACTGACCTGGGTAAAATAGAACCAGGACCAGGATCTTCAGGGCCAGGGACAAACACAAATCGACTACTGCAAAAACAAAAAGAAAAAAGAAAAAAAAAAGTTCAAGGAATCTCTTTTATAGAAACTGATCCGAAAAAACTAGGTCTGATGTTCTGAATTCAAAGAGCAGGAGCCAGGAAAGTATTCCAGAGAGAGACCTCAGCTCCTCATTAGCAGTTTCCATGCCCAAGCTGTTTTAGATAAAATCAAACCCAAAATAAACCTGCAGGCTTTGTTATCTGATCACAGCTGGCTCATAAGACAGRAAAAATAGGGTAACTCACAGCTTTTTAAAGTAATTAAAGGTTTCACAAAATAAACAGATTTCCCTTTGCTCTGTACCTTTTATGGATGCTGGGATATTCACATATAATATCTGCCAGAGCCTTCAGAGAACCTGGAGTTAGGGAAAAACAGGACACAAGCCTGGTTAGGAATAAACACACCGTGGATGAATCACCCCTCTACTGCAGTGCACTAAAAAAAAATTTGGGTTTATTTTCTGCTCTCTTCATTTGTTTGCCATCKTTATTTTAACTCAATGCACATGTCTGGCTGTTTACAAAGACTTCCCTACCTTTCAGGGACTGGATTTGATTTTTTCCATATGGCGCAGATGAAAAATTTCCACAGAAGAAAAAGCAGGTGGGAGGTGCAGAGGAATAACCTGGGGAAAGAGAGGATCTGTGAGTGTATCCATTCACTTCAGTGCCTTCCAGCACTCAGCCCATTCCAGGAAAAGCAGCAACTGAAGCAGCACTTCAAGCTCTGCTGCTATTAATACACCTGAATGATTTGCTTGATACAGGCTGGTTTTAGCTTGAAAAGGTGATGGCAACGTGCAAATGTCACTCCTCTGTCATTTACAGGCTCGGTTCCAGCATTGTTTGTGTGTATCCAACTACTGAGCCAGGCAGAGAACAACACAAAGTGCAGTTATTATAAATAATGCAATTTCAAATGGATTATTCCCTTCGAGATGAGAACAGCAAGCAGGCAGCAATGGATTGCTATTAAACCTCCATGATCACCCCAACTCAAGGGCTCTCCCAACATTTAATTCTCCTTTGGCATTACAAAGCAACAGGAACTGGAATTGCCTGAGCAGTCTGAGGATCTGATGAGTGCTCACAACCTCACTAATCACCCACTTCAGAGCAAGGGGGGAAAAAAGAAACCTGATTCCCATCCCTGAAATAAAAATAGAAACAGCTACTCAGGCATTCATCTCACATCCCAGTTGCTCTCCATTTTCCTAGCAGGCAGGAACACACTYGGATTTACTTCGCTGGTTTTCAAAGGGGCTGGTAAATAGAACAGAATTGCTTAGATCAGAGGAATGGCTTGTCAATATTTTTCCTTGCTCTTCCCCTCAGCTGCTCATTTCATTTATAATTATGAAGGTTATCACTTGCCCATTAAAGTCTSCAAATAGCAAATGCCAGGTCTGCACCTTTTCCAGGTGAGTTCAGCACACAAATCTCACTGACCAAAGTCCCTCTGTCACTTCAGCACCTGCAGTCTTGGGTCAGGCCCAGTTTGCCCCAAGGATCTGCCAGCTCTGATCCAGATATTGAACTGGTTTTGTAACTTCTGCCTGATTGTGCTAATSTCTGTCCAGTTTCCTCTAGGTGAGGAGCAGATTCCCACCCTGAATTTTGTGTTTATTTTTAAACCACTCACTCTCTCACACTTCCATTCTGCCYGAGGCAGATGGGACAAGCTGTTCCAAAACTGCTGCAATACAAAGCAGCAATTCATAAATGCTTGTTTTCCCAAYGTTGTCCACATTAGAATCACAGAATCTTGGAATGATTTGAGTTGGAAAGACCTCAAAACCCATCCAGTTCCACCTCTGCCACGGGCAGGGACACCTTCCACTGTCCCAGGGTGTTCCAAGCCCCGTCCAACCTGACCTGGGACACTTCTAGGGGGATCCAGGGGCAGCCAGAGATTCTCTGGGAATTCCATTCCAGTCTCTCTCCATCCTCACAGCCAGGAATTCCTTCCCAATATCCCATCTATCGCTGCCCTCTGGCAGTGGGAAGCAATGGTTATCTCTCTGAGTTGTCTTTAAACCAAGCCCAGAAAGAACTTCCAGGAGCAGGGGAAACATTCTTGTCACAGCCCACAAAATGAATACAGGTCAAAACACTATTTGTCCTAAGAATTCATGAAAACAAAATTATGAAAAAAAAAATTGGAGCCGAAGCAATTCTCACCTACCCGAAAACATCGTGTGAAGTTTTTCCAGCACTTCTGCCTGGTCCAGCCACACGTCAGAGACAAACACAAACATGGCATCTTCATTCTCCTCCTCCAGCTGCTTCAGTTTGGCAGAAGCCTTGACTGAAGATGAAGAAGGCCCTCCAAAGAAGTTTATATTCCCATAGAAGGCTCTGCATTGTTAAAATAGGCCAGTTAAAATCCCAAAATATTTTGGGTTGGGAGGACCTCAAAGCTCATCCCATTCCAACCCCTGCCACAGGCAGAGACACCTTCCACTATCCCATTGTTTCAACAACAAGGAATTTATTATTCCCATCTAACATGAGAAGGGCTTACATCCAAAATTTTCATTAATATGCAGAACCCAAAAGCCTTTGGAAGGGTTTTTCTGCCAACACTACAGGATTTAGTGCCTCCAAGTCCCAAATTTCTTCCCTAAAATTATATTTATTTTAAAGCATTTGGGGAGGGGGAAGAGTAACATACTTGAATGTCAGAGAAATTATGAAATAACAATGATCTTACTTAGAAACCCATAAGAAAACATGRAGTGAGGCTGCCAAAAGTCAGTTTTATACCTCGTGGTAGCAGAAGGCTCAGTGGGCGGAAATCCAAAAGCGTTCACATGAAAAACTTGGTCTTCATACCAACCTAAGAAGTTTTGGAACAGCAAAAAAACCCTTCAGTTTTCCTAACAGCATCATGTCCTAGACATTAGTCAGAGAGTTGGCAGTGGTGCTGCACTGCCAGTCCCAGGCTCCATCAATCCCTCTCTTGTGAGAGCTCCAGCCCCAGAACCAGAGCACGGAATGATCCGGCTGGAAAAAGGGCTGAGCGAGAAACCAACTTTTTTTTTTAACCCCAGACACTTCTGTGAATGGATTTGCTGCTCTGCCACATCAACAACCCCTTAACCCAACAGAGGAGGAATGCAGGGGAACAGGAATCATTTTGTTGGGTCCCCATCCAACTTTGTCTCAAGGTCTGTCCCACTGTCAGGGCAACAGAAGGAACACAGTGATATTTATCCCCACTCTCATTTCTGCTCCCAACTTCTCCTTACTCTCTGCATTTTAAATAGAAAACGCACWAGAAAACAGACTGAGATTATGTATCTTGCAGGGAGGAACATTCCTCAAACAGAAATAGCCTTTTTTTATGCTAAAACAAGCCTSCAAAACTGCAAGCTCTTACATCATCCTAATGAGAAGCCTCATTAAAGGACCGAAGCTTTGCCAACACAAAGCAGCATTTTCAGATTGTTCAATCATCCTGTTTCTTTTTCCTAATCCAGTCAGAACTTCTCCAAGCATGTTGGGGCCAATCCTCAAAGCTGCTACAGACCCTCACATCCCCCAGTACCCTCAAATTCCTGCTCTCTGCCTCCAGAGGTCACAGCAAAAATCTTAGAGCTAAAAATCTCAAGCACAAACTCACTTGTGGTCACCAAAATGAGACTTGTCTGCTCAGCAGTGACAGCTTTAACAGAATAAATTATTGCAAATTAAAAACAAACCCRGTCTGCTTTACCTTCTGCCAAAACAAAGCAGGATTCAGTATATAACCCACTGTGGAACTGGTGCAGGAAGGTTAAGGAAYGTGTTTTTCTTAGGTTCTTTAGCCAAAATTTGCTTTCCAGCTGGTGTAATGTATTTGGACAGCACTGAAAGTTCACAGGCTGCCTGAAGAGCCTGGCAAATCCCTGGAACCTGAGCAGGTTAGTCCAGAGAGAGCCCACAAACAGAAACAGGCTCTGCTTCCATGTCCAAAAAAAAAGGGCACGAATCTGCAGCAGCCAAGGAATTGCAAACAAAGGAGAAAGTCAGAGCTGCAGCTCTCAATATGTATTTTTTAATGGTCAGCATTGATTTACTGCTCAAATGAAAATCCTGCAGGTCTACAGGAAATTCCTCCAGCTCTTCCATCACAGAGAAAGGATATTGCTTTACTAAGGTCTAGCTGGACCACTCCAGTGGGGTCTTCTAGGAAAAATTTCCCCTRAAAAACAGGATTCATTAATAAAGCAAAATACACCCAAACACACAAATGCTTCAATCAGAAGCATCTGTCAGTCAGTATTTAGAAACAATTTGGTTGGTTTTAACATTTTAAGCTGGCAAGAGCTGAAAATAATGTGGTTTATAATAAGTGTATCTCAGCAGCTACCCTTTGAGCTACTGCAGTTGGGATTGTTGGTGCATCCCTCCCTAAAATCACAGTCCAGGGCACTGACAAGTCCCAGCACAGCCATGGGAAGGTCCAGCCTTTCAAGAAGGGACATGCCTGAAAATCCGAACGGCTTCTGGTTGTTTACATAAAGCATTACAAAATTATCTCTTGRAAAGATATACTGGCACTGACTGCTTGTGAAAAAGTCTCTTAGAATGGGTCAAGTAAGTGGGATATTTAKTTTTTCTCATTTTAATGTTATAGCACTGAAAGAGCAGTGAGTGACACACAATAAAAAGCAACTCACCTCCTTGAGCTGAGTGATCATCCCAAGCACRATCACTTCTCCCACTTTAGCTGTATTGCCCAAGAGAGTTTCTATTGTCTTTAGCTGCAACCAAAGGCAAAGAATSCAATCAGAATTAAATCAAACTCTCCAGGTGCCATTTCTGAAGCCACACAAAGCCCCTCACAGGACATAAACACACAAATGAGCTACCAGAGGATGCAGGCTCATGACAAAAATCAGGACCATATTTCTGAATGTGGCTTAGGAAAACATTCCCAATAACGCTGCCAGCATAAAGAACTGCTGTGATTATTTGGCTTAGAATTGGATTAAAACTGAAAAGAGCTCCATTTTTTACCTGGAATTTGCTYTTGCTGTCATCAGGATGAGCAACGATTGGTGAAGGAGTGAACAGCTCATGTCTGTGAGTCCTCTGCAGAAACCAAAATTGAAGTGATTSAGTTTAAAAATAAATGAGCACTGTCAGAAAGCCAGTTTGCTACAACCACCATGCAAAAYACTTCACAGAGCTCTTACTCCATTTCACTCAGCAACTTTTAATAATTCAGTTCTTTTGACAAGAATTTACTTCTGAGAAACAGATKATCGATAACACCGGATAATAGAACTAAGCCTTAAAAAAGTGTCATGGAAGCAGCTGTAATCCAGCTAAAAAAAAAGTCATTTGTGACARCCTGGAAGGGAGAGAGTTTGTGAGGCAAAGAGGTGCAAGAGCAGGATGTATTTTTGGAAGAAGATGTAGGATATATCCCTGTGGACACGTGCAGAACTTGCTGACCTGCTGGAGGATGGAGTAGCGCTCCCGGAACAGCTCGGCCTTGTCTCGGGCAGTCCCAAATAAACTGGGCCCAGGGAGGTCAGTCATGGACAGGCTGCAAAGAGTTGAACACAATCACAGTTTAAMAAAAGGAACATTCCACACATAAAATGCCATATTGATTGAAAAGGTCTGGGAGGCTGCAAAAGCTACACCATGATTTAGTTACTCCATGAGTTACATCCTGCTCAGGATCCTGCCTTTTGTGTTTCTGCATTTTGAAGGCAACATCCATTTCCTTCCCCTCTAACTCACAGGCCTTGAGATTTATCCTTCCACCCAGAGATGCCTCTGCAGAAATCCAGTTTAAAAAAAATGCAGTTATGCCTTTAAGCAGTCATGAACAAGAGCATTATTCCTCCAGTTTCTCCAACTCCCAGCATCACCAGCTGCTCCTAATTTTTCTTTTTTACCATTTGGAGCTCTCCATAGAAACCCCCCTGGGCTTCAGGGAGCTGTAAGATACAGACTAAGAAATAAATACCGACAACAGACAGAACAAATTTATTAAAATAATAAATTTAAACAGCCCAATGTGAGAAAAAAAAAACAGCTCCAAACTACCTTTAGTGATGTATGTCCTTAACCTTACTGTCTTTTTTATTCATTAGGTGGCATAAACTTGGTTTATGGTCTTAAACATTTATTACCTTTCTCTCTCAGGCTTCAGCTGAACAGACCCAAGAGGGAAAGATTAAAAACCGACTTATCCTATAGAAATAGAGGCTTTTTTCTTAAAACAAGAAGTGCTTAAAACTTAAAATATGGAAACTTACGGCAGAAACTTCTTTCTTTCTGAATTATAAATATAACGTGGGATATCGAAGGCTCCAATAATGTTGAAAACATCTTCTCTGAAACAAGAACAGTTCCAGCATTAACTGAATGTTACCTTCCAACCAAACCATTCTGTGATTCCCTGAAGTGGATGAACAAACAGTATCAAATATGTTGGCTAAAATGACATTCATTTTGCTCACTATCATCAACATTTCTCCTGCAACGTTCTATTTTTCTAATCTATTTTCTATTCTGTTTTCCATTCTATTTTCTATTCTATTTTCTGTTCTATTTTCTGTTCTATTTTCTATTCTATTTTCTAATCTATTTTTTCCTGCATGTTCTAGTTAAATAATTAAAGGAAATTTTCCCTGTGATCTGTAGAGCTTTTCCCTTCAGGACTCTGCACTGAGAATCTGTACACACAGATTTCTCTTCACTTCTGGAGCAACAAAAAATATATTAAGTATCAAAAGCAGCACAAAAGTCACACTCAAACCATCTGCATTATAAAGGTTCTGGTTAAAGGAGCAAAGAAGCAAGGAACAAAGTTAAAACCAAATTTTCTCCATCCTGAGAGGCTGTGGGATGACAGTATCTAATTGATATGCCCAGAAAACCATCTCTTTCCATGCTTTGCATTACGATGTGAACACTTAAAGGAAACACATCCATCAGGATCTCAAAGTTCTCAGAAACTCCAGTAATTGCTCCACACTTTGTTATCACAGAAGGGAAATCAATCAGGGCTTCAAACAGCTAAACAAAAAAGCAGGAACTTGCACCCCAGAGGAAAACTTTTCCAAAGTGCTTTGACAAAAGAAAAGCACAAAACCAACCTGAGMTAACTTTGATGTAGAGCAAAGCAAATAAAGGCATGGACAGAATTATTGGTTAATATTCAACGTGTAGCACACACAACACAGCCACAGCAGCTGAATGCCAGACTGGCAGATTATATTTGGAACCCCATGGAGTTACAACCATGAGAATCAATGCTCCAGGGAGGAACCTGGAGCAAAGGCAGCACCAGGAAGACAAAAACACAGAGCAATGACTGCATGGGCAGCACTGCAGAAAATGCCTGACATCCAACTCCCCAGGAGGAATTAGGAAATGACACCAGCTCCCAGAAATTGCAGTAAAATTTCTGTCACCCTACGTTGTCTCATCCGGGGACCGGCTGCATTCCTGGACAGCTGCTTCCACCGTGGGCTGTTCAATCATATTAGATGACACTGGAAAGAAAAATCCCAAGGATTCAAACTGCAGCAAAGAAGGAAGTAGGTCTCAAATATTTTACACTAAATGGTTGAGTCTCCTCAGAGGAATACACACCAACAAGCTTTCTGTAAGCTAATGACACACACTGTTTTACAAACAGATCACTTCATATTGCCACCAAAAGGACACATTTCTGGGAAAAAAAAAATCCCACATGCTGTGCCCACCCTGAATTCCCTAAACATGAAGAGCAAGGCAATTATAGTTTAGGCAAAGCTGCCAAATACATCACAGATGTGTTAGAGCTGAGCTTTCAYATTCTGGAGATGAATTTAGTTCCAGAACATGATCACACAGATTGCTGCTGTAAGTATTCCAACACAACTTGGGAGATAGGCACATGGTTGTTTTTATGGATTGGAACTGATAATTGGAATTATCTGAAGGCCTCAMCATCCTCACAGGRAACAATTCCTTCCTAACATCCCATCTAACCCTGCCCTTTAGYARTGGGAAACCATTCCCWGTCATTCCAYGCTCACGTAAATACCCTCTTTCCATTTTAATATTTAAAATTATACTYTCAGGTACAAAGATGTCCAGGTAAACTTTCAGCCACTGTAACTAAAAAATTCTACTACTCCTGCAAAAGTCAGGATATTCTACATTGCCAACTTTTTAAATGGCACAAATATCTTCTGATGACATTGCAAACTTYAGTGTTTATCAAAAATAAAAGGCCAATAAATACATTCATCTCAATCAACCCCTCACACTACARTGACACCTCAGTGCCTCTGCTGCCAATAACTGCCTTTGTCTGGATAACATCATAAATGCCAGGAAAACTTAAGAAAAAGAAATTGTTTACTTACAACGCTGTTTTTCAACTGCATCGATGACATTTTCAATTACATCGTCAAGTTCTCCTTCACTGACAGACTGAAAAGCTTCAGTGAGATACTTCAGGGCATCCCTAATCCCAGAGAAAAAAAGCACAAAAAGCAATTAATATTCAATACTTTACAGAAACTGAGCTGATTTTGGTGTGCACATCATAACCACGTGGCCTGTGGTTAAAAAGTAGATATAATTAGTACTGGATAATAGCACACTGGTTTAAGTTAAAGAAAAAAAAAATGTTGGGATTGAAAATATAAGGGAAAAGAAGTGGATATGGAGAACCTCAGCTTCATACAAATAAGCCCAGTTTGGAGGGAGTTCTGGAGACCATCTGGTCCAAAGTTCTACTGGAATAGGGCTTGAGTTATGCTGTCCAGGGCACTGTCCAAAATAATCACATCTCATCCACAACAGAAACAAAATGGAATTGATATCAACACTCGAGAAAGAAAGGGAAAATAAGAGCGATGGAGATCCAGTCTCTTATAAATCATGACACCTTCCACTGCAAGCGGRAACCACTTTCCATTGACCTTGCCATCTCTAAATTGTACAGACTATTTTACTTGAAAATATACCATTTCTGACTTTGGAAATGCCAGTTCTGTCTTTTGAAACTTCCTCCTTTGGAGTTGCCACTGCTTCCTCTGGCAAGGAATGCTGAGCATGGCTCTGGCAAGTGGAACTCAAAGATCTCAGAATTGCCAGGGTCAGAGGCAGACAAAAAAAAAAAATCCCAAACACCCAGCACCAGCATCAGGGAGGGCTCCAAGGGTGACCACGGGCAGCTTTTGGTGGCACCCACAGTCAGGGTGGGTGGGTGAGTGGATGGATGGATTGATGAACGGAGAGATGAATGGATGAGTGGATGAATGGATGGATGAATGAGTGGATGGACGGATGGATGGATGGAAGAATGGATGGATGGACAGATGGAAGGATGGAAGAGGCCCCACAGCAGCAAGACACGCAAAGCAAGGCTCTGGAGGAGATTCCAGAGGCCTCGCTGAGGGAGAAGGAGGAGGAGGAGGTAAAGGCAGAGACGCGGGGGGTGCGGAGCGGCCCCGATCCCATCCCGTCAGGCCGCACTCCCGGCCCGGGTCCGATCCCCGCGGGCAGAGCTGAAGCGGCGCAGGGCCGGACAAGGTGCGGATCCCCGAGCAGGATCCGAGCAGGGTCCGAGCAGGGTCCGGGCCGTGCTCGGCGCTACTCACGGGCGCAGGAGGAGCCCCCGCAGGCGGAACGCGGAGCTGAGGCGGCGCCGCAGCCGCTCGGGCTCCATGGCGGTTTGGCGATGGCGCCAAACGCGGCCGGGCCGCCCACAGCAGCACAACCCAGCCCAGCACAGCCCGGCCGGGCCGCCCACAGCAGCACGGAACAGCCCAGCACAGCTCAGCACAGCACACCCCAGCACAGCCCAGCGGGAGGAGCCCGGCACGGCCCCGCTCTGCCCGCCCGGTTCCACCGGCACAGCGCCCTGAGGGACCGGCCGGGGTCAGAGTGTCCGCTGAGCTGGGGGCAGCCCTCAGGGCAGCTCTGGGCCCCCTCATGATGAGAAA